GTCAGTCATCTGCCCTCTTCCATCCTGGCCACGAGTCCCACCTATCGCACCCTCCTCGTTCTGAAGGCATCTACGAAAGTTATTTGCCATGTTAGGTTCCAAACTTTCAAATCGTTTGCCCCTTTCATTCCAGGAAATTCCTATCATCCACCGCATGCCATATATTCAAAGATCATACGCTTTCATTTAGATGCTTGAGTGGCGTGAATTTCACGTTATGTAATATTCAGACAATTTTTTTTTTACATTCATGAAGCTGTGGGACACCTCGTTAAATGACGGCGGTGTTAAAATATTTTCGGCTCATGTTTATCCGCCTCTGCCAAGAACAGCCACGGCAGATTTACCGTCACTTGTGTTTTGGGGGCTCTATTCCTTCCTCGTCTTGATTTATTCGCCGAAATGTGTTTTGGCCATTGCGTCAAGGGTGGAATGCGAACCCCGAAAAGTGAAACGTCCTCTTGAGCCTTTCGTCTTCGGAGAGCCGTGTAAGCTGAAACGCGACACAACGCCAATGCAATGGGCGGCCCATTGGCACTCTGCTGGATGAAGCCGACCGGAAGTGGTCGAAATTAATAATTTCGGTCGGATCGCCCACATCGGGGAATTAAATTAGAAAACAAATAAACGTTTCATCAATCAACCCCGCGGGGAGACCTTCCCGAACAGCAGCAGCAATTTGAAAATCGAACAAAACTCTGCACTCGTTTCAAGATTCTGGGTCTCATCAGAAGCGTCGGTTTGTGTTACAAATGCTGCTGCTGCTACTGCCGTTGCAGTGTTGGCCAGAACACTCCACCTCAACGCCCGGGCCCCCCCCCCCCCCCACTTCATGAAAAATAAAGCGATTTGATATAAAAATAAACGTAACTCAATCTACGCTGTTGTGGAAAATTGCGGGTAATTGTCTTTGTTAATCATTATTGTCTGCATTCGTCGCTGCCAGACTGATCAGTTTGTTTTTTCACGAAAGCGACTGCTATTGACACGTGCGTTCTGTGTGTAAAATGCAAAATGCAAAACACCCGTTTTGTTTGATCGTGTGGACTCCCACTGCTGCATTTCGTCACTAAGAGGAAGCCAACGGGGGGGCCGGCCTCTTGCTATTGCGTGGAGCATAGGTCACTTGCGGGGAGCTCAGATGTTGCCCAGTGATATCTTGTATCAGCAGCAAGGGTTTCACAATTCCCTGCCGCGTGGACTATTTGTCTCCTCGTGAAACCGATAACACAATCAGGATAAACTTGGGAGGGAGGGGGTAATGACGCAAATAACATCACAATCTGGCAGCCCCGTCAACAGCAGCCCTCTTCATAGCAGACCTCATCATAGCAGCCCCGTTCCACAACAGCTCCCTCCACAACAGTCCCTCCACAACAGCCCCTCCACAGGTGTTTAAACGTGAACCCCCTCCTCCCCACTACAACCCCTACCCTCAACCCCCAACCCACGCCCCAGTCACGCATTCTCACGGATCAATTCGCTACCAATGCAGCCCCCGACCCTCGCCCCTTTCGCAGAAACGTCTCTCTTTTATCCGCCGGCTCGATAACTCGTTTCACAACCGCCTGCTTAACCTCCTCCTCGTAGTGCTACCTACTATGGGAGAGAGAGGGAGGTTCCGATTGGCTCTGTGACAGGCGAGATATTCCCCACGGTGGCTATGAGATGTTAACTACTTCGCCTGGCATACAGGAGATCGTGGGTCCGATCCCGACCCTGACGCCTGCTGCTGTATATTTGGAGTTTGCGTGTCTCTCTCGCCGTGGTCGCGTGGATTTTTCTCCAGATCCTCTGGTCTTTGCCTCCACAGTTCGAATCAACATCACGCGTTTAGAGTATCTGGCTTCTGATTTCCATTTCCACGTGATGCGCCACTTGGCTGAGCTCTCATTTGTGGTCGGGTTGCTTCTGGAAAAGAGCTCTTTAGCATATTGGGCCTCGTCTGGTAAAATACGACAGCGCGCTGCCAATTAAAAAAAAAACAGCGAATGGGTACGCGACAATCGGCGGCGTTGCGGGCAGGAGGTGTAATTGCGATGTCACTTAATTGAATATTTCCATTTTGTCTGCCTAATTGGCCGGGCGAGTTGAGTAATGATGTAATGCAAGCCAATTATGTAATCGCCCCTTTCCTCGATGCTCAATGTCCCCAACTCCTGATTAACCTTGGAGCCCGGCGAGGAGGAAGAGGAGGCGACTGGCCGACTCGATCCCAGCGCCACGAACGAGAGGCGACCTGCAACTGAACGAGAACGGATGAGGAGGGGGGAGGGGTGAGGTGGTGGGAGGGTGGGTGGAGTGGTGGGGGAGGTGGGTGAGGTGGTGAGAGGGGTGGGTGAGGTGATGGGAGGGGTGGTGGGAGGGGTGTGTGGGACGGGTGGTGGGAGGGGTGGAGGAGTGGTGGGAGGGGTGGAGGGATGGTGGGAGGGGTAGGAGGGGTGGGTGGGGGATCGCACTGAAAAACAAACACCAGCTCTAGATTTGAAGCTTTTGTGACTGCAAGGATTCATACTCTTTGTTTTTTTCGGTAAAGTCACGGAGGTAAAAATGCAAATAAAATAAATGAAAACGACTAAATAAAATCACGACGTTTCGGGCGCAACACAAGCGCCCTTCTTCAGGTGGGGACAAACGTAGCGAAAGCACAACCGCTTAAGTGTGAGTATAAACACCAGCGCCACAAATCGTTTTGATGCTGCTGCTGCTGCTGCGGTGGAAGAAGTGGTGGTGCAAACGCACACGTGACAACACACTCGTCAACAACACGTTTCGGGAAACGACCCTTCTTCAGCAGCGCCAATCATCGCCTCGGCACTCCGCATCTGCCCCCGCCCCGCCCTCTATCCCCCCCGCCCCCTATCCCCCATCCACCCCCTTAGGATCGCGTTGGGCTTAAGTGGGCAGAGAACCCCTGGAGAGCAGGAGGGGGGCTACTCTCGATTCGACCTCGCCGCGATTGGATGCATTGTGATAATTCGCTGTTGCTGATCCTTTCATTAATACAACAATAGTAGACTGCAGCAGCTGAGTTTTAGGCTTCCGATATTAGGAATCCGCTGGAGCTATGCACTTGCAAATCTAATTGTAAAACGCATTTCTTTAGAACGGATTGTTTGGCGTTTGGTTTGTTGGCCTTCCCCCGTAACCGCCGATTAGCAGCGTTGGCTGCGTACGGTGCGATGAAAGTTCGACAGTGCAGACGGAACATGCAATAGCTGCCATCGTGGCTGCGACATATTTGAGCCCCGCACTCAGCGGTGAGAGGGAGGGAGAGTCGCAGGGCGGTGGGGGTAGAGCGAGTGGACGGAGGGGAGGGATGTGAAGACACAGGGGGAAGAGATGAATGGGAGGGAGGGAGGGATGACGAGAGGGGGGAGGAGGGATGACGAGAGGGGGAGGGGGGATGACGAGTGGGGGATGGCGAAAGGGGGAGGGAGGGATGGCGAGAGGGGGAGGGAGGGATGGCGAGAGGGGGAGGGAGGAATGGCGAGAGGGGGTGACGAGAGGGGGGGGGGATAACGAGAGGGGGGAGGGGGGATGGCGAGAGGGGGGGGGGGATGACGAGAGGGGGGAGGGAGGGATGAGGAGAGGGGGAGGGGGGATGGCGAGAGGGGGAGGAGGGATGAGGAGAGGGGGAGGGTGTTGACGAGAGGGGGGAGGGAGGGATGGCGAGAGGGGGAGGCGGGATGAGGAGAGGGGGAGGGGGGATGAGGAGGGGGGGAGGGGGGATGAGGAGAGGGGGAGGGAGGGATGAGGAGAGGGGGGATGAGGAGGGGGGGAGGGGGGATGACGAGGGGGGGAGGGGGATGACGAGAGGGGGAGGGAGGATGGCGAGAGGGGGAGGGAGGGATGGCGAGAGGGGGGGGGATGACGAGAGGGGGAGGGAGGGATGAGGAGAGGGGGAGGGGGGATGGCGAGCGGGGGAGGGGTTGACGAGAGGGGGGAGGGAGGGATGAGGAGAGGGGAGGGGGGATGGCGAGAGGGGGAGGGGGTTGACGAGAGGGGGGAGGGAGGGATGGCGAGAGGGGGAGGAGGGATGAGGAGAGGGGAGGGGGGATGAGGAGGGGGGAGGGGGATGACGAGAGGGGGAGGGAGGGATGGCGAGAGGGGGAGGGAGGGATGAGGAGAGGGGGGATGAGGAGGGGGGGAGGGGGGATGACGAGGGGGGGGAGGGGGATGACGAGAGGGGGAGGGAGGGATGGCGAGAGGGGGAGGGATGAGGAGAGGGGGGAGGGGGGAATGACGAGAGGGGGGAGGGAGAGAGAGGGGGGAGAGTGACCGATGGATTTGACGCAGCTGACCGCTCTGTAAACCTCGCACTCCCTCGGGGTCCGGGTTCCCGCTCCCCTCGCGTTGTCTCCCTGAGAATCTTGAAAACGCAACCGAGGTCGTGAGCGCCAGGGACGTGCGGCTGCTCGCTGCTCACCGCGCGTTTCTCTCCATACATATACTTCAGTGCACCGATCTCTCTCCCTCTGTATCGATTTGTGCTTCCCCGTGTGTGTATCTATGCATATATATATGTGTGTGTGCCCGTGTGTTTCTCTTCCCGTCTGTCTCTGCGTATCTCTCTCCATCTGTGCGTCTCTCTGCTCACGAAGACTACATCGAGCGCTCTCGGTCCACGCTCCCTTGTCTGTCGTTCACTCAACCACGTCCCCACCGCTCTCCAACTTCTCCCCACGTCTCCATCATAATTCTCATCGTCATTCAGCCCCCTTCATTTCATCATCATCATTCTCCATTCGTATTCCTTCTTGCATTTCATCTCGATCCCTCCCGCCGTCTCCTTCGCCCCCCCCCCCTACACCACCACCACCCCACCTCTCTCCTCGGGAAAGTCGAGCGCGCTCAGAACGGTCTCCGGTGTACACGTGTGTGTGTGTGTGTGTCCTGCACACCGCTCGTGAGATCAGCCGCGCAGAGTTGCTCCCCCTGGCGGACGGACTGTGAACCCCGGCGGGCTGGCTGGCTGGCTGGCGTGCTCGCGTGCGTGCGGGAGGAGAGTGAGCGTCATTCGAGAGAGAGTGGTGCTCAAGTAGAGCGGTGAACGTGGAGGGGAAGTGGTGTTCGGGAAGAGAGAGCGAGCGAGCGAGCGCGGTGGGGAGAGAGAGAGAGAGTGTGGGGGAGGGTGAATTAGGATCGTGGTGTTTACTGAGAGTGGTGGCGTGCGTCGATCGAGTGGTGTCGAGGGAGTTGCGGTGGTGGACGTGAGCAGTGGAACACGTGGAGGGGCAGCGGCGCGCGCGTGGAGAGAGACGGAGTCGTGCTGACGGGGAGGGTAGTGGTGGACCAGGTGGGGAGTGATGCGGAGTGGTGGTGAGCGGCAAACTCTCATTCGTGGTGTTTAAAGGGAGTGGCGCGCGAGCGTCTGGGGGGGGGAGTGGTAATCGGGCTGAGATATGGAGAGTGGGGAGCGTTGAAGGAAGGGCGCAGTTGAAATCGGATCGTGATGAACTAGGGGAGTGGTGCACGGGGTGGTGAGCTCGGTTCGTTGTGTACACGGGGGGGGCGATACGCGTGGAGACGAAAGATAGACGGCCAGAAAAGTGGTACCCGTGGAGAGAAGAGGTACCCGTGGAGAGGAGCGAGACGCGGGGAGAGCCGAGTGCACTGCAGAGGTGAGCGTTTTCTTGCGATATGGCGATACGATCATTGTCACCGTCACCGTGACGGCTATTGTCATCGTCACCATGACCATGCGTGTTCTCTAATGTGTACTGCCTTCTCGTGCGTACTGCGTGTGCCCCCCCCCCCCCCCCCACGATCATGCCGTTGGTCTGTGCGCTCTCTGCTTATCTGTACTGACATGCGTCACGCGCGCTGCTGCTCTTAGTCATCATCATCATCATCAGCTGTTCCGCGTACTTTGAACATCATCGTCGTGGTCATCATCGTGGTCATATGATAACTACCGTGATCATCATCTGCTGTTATGTCTGCTCAACATGATCATCATTTCATCATTCTTTCTCACCATCATCTGCTGCTCTCTCTCATTTCCCTCTGAGATGACGAAATGTCATTCGTACCGTTTGTATATGGCCACTACTAGGAATGACGCGACAACCTTTTCCATGGATCAAACTCATCATAATCGTCTGCTATGCCGCGTGCTACTGTCAAATTTATCATCATCCGTGTCATCATCTGTCGACTCAAGTATTATTAGCAAAAGCATCAATTGCGTCTGCCCGTAGCGCTGCACAACCCATAGATGGCAACACGTAGCATTATTTACATGGCGAATAAAGATGATTAAGATAACCTTTAAAAAGATCATCATCACCATGTACTATTTGGCGAAACCATCCTCAAATCGAGTAGTGAGTCTCCGCGAGGCTTTCCTGGTTAAATAAGCGTAATAATAGTGGTAATTAATGTAATTGTGTGTTCAATATCACAGCTGTTATCTTCATCTGAGCTTCTGTGTGCCCTATGATCATCATCTTTTAAATCTGGATTGAAAACTTCCCCTGCACCTCCGATTAGCACGGTTGGTGGCTACGTAGGGGTGCGAAAAGAGTCGACATACGTGCATCGTTATCATCGTAGCCAAGCTGCTGGGACACAACCCTGGACCGCCGCATCCACTGCACAAACCATGGCAGAAGCAGCAGATGCGGATGCCGGATTACGATGTGGATACTTGATGATGATGATGAAGATACTGGATGATGATGATGATACTTGGTGATGATAATGCGGATACTTGGTGATGATAATGTGGATACCTGGTGATGATGATGATGATGATGCGGATACTTATTGATAATGATGCTGCTGCAAAAATTTATAATTTAAAACTATCCTGCATGCGACTGTGTTCAACGACACAAATGCGAATGAGGCATCGTCACAGCGATGATTCGCAACTCCGCTACCCCTGACCCAATCAACTCCCTCCCTCCATGTAAATTACATCTGTTGCTCATCCATCACACGACAGAGAAAGACGGAGATTCATAGAGTCACACTGAGACTCGTAGACTCGCACAGAGCGACACGTAGACTCACGTAGAGATCTAAATGAAGGAGGCACCATCACAGCGATGCATTCCTCTATTCCGGACGCAATCGTCTGGTTCAACCACCTCCATGTAAAATTACAGCTGTTGCTTAATATCAACATCAGCCGTAAGAAGATCACATCATCATCATCGTCGCTGCCATCGCCATCATCTGCGATTCATTGTGCTCTCTGCTCTTTCTCACCACCATCATCATCATTATCTGCGTTCCAGAATGCTATCTGCTCTGAGTTTTCTGAGCTGTAAAAAGATCACATCATCACCATCGCCATCATATGTGGTCCCTACTGCTCTCTGCTCCTTCTCACAATCATCATCATCTGCGCTCCTGAGTGCTATATGCTTTGAGTTTTCTGAGCCGTAAAAAGATCACATCATCATCATCATCACCATCATCTGCGGCTACATTGTTTTCTCTGCCCCGTCTCACGACCATCATCATAAAAATCATCATTTATGACCACCACCACCACCATCATCATCGCCACCATCATCCGTTGTTCGCACTGCCCGCTCAGTTTTTCCGCGCTCCGCTCCGCTCACCATCCCGGTAGCGGTTGCGGTGTCTCCCCACACCCCACCGCAGCAGTCGCCATGTACCCCGAGTGCGAGACGAAATTGATGCTGGAGCTGGCCATGGAGTCGTGCCTCCAGCAGCTGCGCCACGAGTGGAACGCCACTCGAGGGCACGGTACGGACACGCGCTCAACAAACGCTCGGCTCGATCAAGTAATTTCGATGCTTGTTACATGAAAAAGACTTCACGTGTGTTTGTTTGCTTGTTTGTGTTTTTGTATCGTTTGTTGTTGTAACGTTTTGACCTGCCCCGACTGGACACCTGTTGAAAAAGAGCTTCATAGCTCATCGGATTTCTGCAGCATATATAACTATTCTGATTCTGAACAGATCACGTGCTATTGCTGTTGCTGCTGCTGCTGCTCCCGCGGTGTGATCGATAGCACATCGGTCACCGGTTCGATTTGATCTCTTGGCGCTGCAGGTGAAACAATAATGCGAGTATCTTGAACGCACCCTCCCTCCCTCCCCTCCCCGCACCCCGCTCCCTCCGCCTTTATAAATGAGTTCACCACAGTTAGTAGGCAAATCGGCGAGTTGCGTGTGATCGGGGTAACGTGTTGGCTACGTACGGTACGAAATAAGTTCAACATACCCGCACACCTAGTCCAAGCTCTTGCAAGAGGTTTGGCCGTTGTGGAAGACTATGGCAAAGTACAGTCGAGAGGAAGCTCTCCAAAGCCCTTTCTACTGGAGGACTCTTCTGCTAGCAGGGGTGTGAGCGAGACATTGCAGGGCCTGTGCCTTCACCATTTGTTCCGCAACACAAACGGACACCGCGCTGCGCGTCCTTGTCACTCTTTTATCGCTGCCGTTCTCATCGATTTCACGTCTCGACGCCATCGCAAACGTCGTGGACATTGACCATCTTGCCCCCCCCTCCCCCCTGGTCAATGCCGCGCTCAAGTAGCGTCGTCTCTCTCGCAAAGTCGCCTCCCCCTTAATTCTAGATTTGAAGCTTTCGTGACTGCAAGGATTCATACTCTTAGTTCTTTCGGTCAAGTCACGTAGGTAAAAAATGAAATTAAAATTAATAAAAATAAAATAATAAAGTCGCCTCCCCCTTGCCCGGCTGCTTGAACCGACTCGACTTACACCACCACGCACGCCACGCGCGACACCCCCCTTACTCCTCCAACCCGCACTGCTCCCCTGCCATGATCATCGTCTCTTGTTTTTGCTTCCCAAGCTCCTATTGCACGAGTCCCGTGTGAATCCACTGCTGGGTGAAGCCCTCCCCGTGCTGTCTCGGTCATGGGGTGGTGGGGGGAGGGGGTAGGGGGCTGTTTGAACATACTATGCTGGTGAGTGCGGATTGGCCAATTTGGAAGAACTTGGGTAGCCAGATTCATAATAACGCTGTGAGCGAACCACTGTGCCGTTATCGTGTCTGCTGTATCGTGTCGGCTGAACTATGTCTGTGTAGCGGTTGGCGCGCTGCGCTATGAACCCGACGACCCCAGTTCGATTCCCGTTCACGGCCAACACCAGTGACGATTATTTGAACCGGTCCCGGGCCTCCCCTAGGTCGACTCAGCCTTAAATGAGTACCTGTGTGTAAACATTGCCACTAGTAATACAAAGGCGGTCGCGCGTGGTGCTGGCCACCCACCCCCTCGTTTGCCGTGCCGGCCTTCATAGGTGCTCGCTAACAGCACTTGCCCCTACAGTCTGTTGAGGCTATATGGGGGGTCTTTGTCTTTGTCTTGCCATAGTAGGCATAGGTTATCACGCTGCGCTACGATCCTGGCGACCCGAGTTCGATTCCCGCTCGCGGCCAACACCAGTGAGGATTATTTGAACCGGTGCTGTGCCTCCCCTAGGTCCACTCAGCCTTATATGAGTACCTGGTGCGCTGTATAAGCATCACCATTGGGGAGACAAAGGCGGCCGGGCGTGGTGCTGGCCACCCACCCTCTTGTGCGCGGTTCTGGCCAGCATTGGGTGCTACTCGCTAACAGCACTTGCCCCAACAGTCTGTCACAGGCTATACGGGGGATCTTTGTCTTTCTCTTGCCGGTCATCTTAGTCAAGTCAACTCATTGGCACATGGCCAGCGAGCCTTCGACAGACACTTCACGTGGCCTCGAAGTGCACCTTGCCTGGCACATGCGCCGTGGTGGGGTCCACGCCACTTAGCGGCGAACGGGACCCTGTAGTTGTTGGTGACCTGTGTATGTGCTACGATGTCTTTGCTGTGCGCCTGTTGCGCCGTGTCTGCTGTGCTGTTCCTCGTGCTGTCCGTGCCGCTATCGCTTTGCCTTATTTGGCTGCAAGCCCCGCGCTTCGCAACTGAACCGAGATCGAAAACGCGACAGGGTTCGGTGCCGGTGATTCACTCAACCGGTAATTAGCTGAATTGGTAAGATTCTGGGTCACGATTAAAGAATCGATTAATGTGATTTCTATCGGACTCTGATAACTATGCTAACGTAACGTAAGGCGCCGTGGTGGCTATGAGATGTTACCTTCCTCGCCTGGTATGCAGGAGGTCGTGGGTTCGATCCCGACCATGAAGCCTGCTGTAAATTTGGAGTTTGCAGTGTCTCTCTCTCCCCGTGGTGGCGTGGATTTTTCTCCAGGTCCTCCGCTTTTTTCCCCTCCACGTTTAGAATCAACATCCACGCGTTTAGAGTATTTGGCCAATATAAGTTTGCACGTGATAAACCGTTTCGTTGAGCAATAATTTCTGATGGCCGGTTCGCTTCTGAAAGAGAGCTATAGAGTATCAAGATAAAATAATAAATTAAATGAAATACTAATTTATTATTTTATCTTGATACGTGGCTTTACTGAAAGAACCAAAGAATAATTCCTGCAGTCACGAAAGCTCCAAATTAAGTTAGAGCTATAGAGGTCAATCGGCCTTACCCGTTCAAATTAAAATCGTCGAGTTCATAGTTTTTTATACATCAGGAGCTCACAACTGAGTCTCACGACCTTTCCCATGGAGGATCTCGCTCGCGTCCTTCTGTGGGAAGTCGACCCGCGGGCGCGATCTGGACGGGGGGAACGTCTGTGCCCTGCAGTGGGTGTTTTTGATATCGCACGCTTGGAGGCGAAAGTGTTAGTGGATCGCGGACGGATTTATTAAAATTCGCAAACCCCCGTGGGCTGCTACTACGCGGCCACGTGACGGCAGCGGAATCGCATTGTGGACCGCGAACCCGTCTGCGCGGACCTCGTGTGAGTCGCGGCATTATTGGGGTCATCATGTTTCCTGCCACGTGGAGCAAACCGGCATTGTCTCAAACATCCCAGTGCCGGACCGTCCAGAGAAAGAGCCACGCGATTGAGTGAAACTCTCCTGAATCAATATCACCATTGGCAGTACTCACTGACACTATTTGCGTACGGTCGAGAGGGTGTTTGGTCTACTCTTCTACGCAGGCCAACGCGAGACCTGCCGGTCGACTCTGCCGTGGTGCACCCATTAACACGACCGTCGTGACACCAACAGGGCAGTTTCGCGCACGCGTAAATGTTCGCGCGCAGGGCGAAGCGCGCTTTGGAGAGAGAGAGAGAGAGAGCGAGAGAGATCGAGAGCAGAAGGAAGGCGATGACTCCGTCAGACGCCTTCTCGCCTCCCCTCGCCACCCCAAATAGGAATTCTCTGGACTCGACTCTCGACTTTGAGAAGTCCCAGACGCCAGGGATGTTTGCGTATCGCGTCTCGCCCACCAGCTCTCCGTCTGCGCTGCGCACTGCAGCAGCGCGTGGCGATCTCTAGCGTGGGCACGCCCTGCGATCTCGGCCTCGCTCCTCCTCTCTTTTTTACGATCAGTGGAAACAAGAAGATGCTCGGTGTAGTCGGCACTTTGCTTCGTTCATCATTTCCTTTTTTTTTACTTGGCTTTATGTAAACCCCCACCTCTCGCTCACTCTCTCGCTCACTCACTCGCTCGCTCACTTGCTTTTTTTTACGATCAGTGGAAACAAGAAGATGCTCGGTGTAGTCGGCACTTTGCTTCGTTAATCATTTCGTAATTTTTTTAAAGTAACTTTGCTTTATGTAAACCCCCACCTCTCGCTCACTCTCTCGCTCACTCACTCGCTCGCTCACTTTCTTTTTTTACGATCAGTGGAAACAAGAAGATGCTCGGTGTAGTCGGCACTTTGCTTCGTTCATCATTTCGTATTTTTTTTTTTACTTAGCTTTATGTAAACTCCCACCTCTCGCTCACTCTCTCGCTCACTCTCTCGGTCACTCTCTCTCTCGCTCGCTCGCGTCAGTGTCAGCCCTGTTCATATTTGCTGGGCTCGTGAGTAGCGTCGGCTCGTCTGAGACTTTATTTGACATTCGCATTCCATTTGGACCGCGCCTGTTCGAGGCTAAACTCGTAATTTCCCCTTCCGCTGTCGCCAGAATGGCGAGTTGCCTTCCACCTGCTGTCCGTGCTGTCTGTCGACTGCCTTCCCCTGTCTGTTAACTACCACGCTCAATGCCTCCCGCCCTCCTCCCTGCCCCCACACCTCTGCCTGTAACCCAACCGCCTCGTTCTTAAGACAGGTATAGTATATTTTCACGAGGTTTGGCTGGCTGCCGAGCTGCCTGGCTGACTGGGCGCTTGGAGGGAGGGAGGGACACGTCCAGAGGACATGCGCGTTGTTCGTCTCTCTTATATATACATCTTCTCGCGATTTCTTGCGCAGTGTCTTGTTACGCAGTCGCGTCTATTCGCTGTGTAAATCCACATCGTATTGCGCGTACAGGTCTGTGCATGCCGTTGTTTGTGTATGTAGGCAGTGCCTGTTAACAGGTCCCTGCGGGGTGGGCTGGTAGGAACGAACAAATACGATACGAAGGGAGAGTTTGAGGCCAAGTTCTAGGCTTTAGGCCTAGCTGTAGGCTTTAGGCCGCTGTGAGTTAATTTTTTATTTAAATGTTTTAATTAAAAACTATCTCAGGGAATTCTCAGGGAATGTTACACTTGTTTAGCCAGGAAAGCCTCACTGAGTCTAAAGTTTTTTGTAGGGTCCTGCCAAGTGTTTGCAGTAGGGGGCGATGTTGCTACACCTAATCGGACATCGGACGGACGGACGGACGATATAATCTATTGTAGGCTGGTTCACTTCGTTCCTACCAGTATAATCCGCTGTTGAACCTCGGGTGTC